AGTTTCCAATGTACATTGCCATCCTCCATGACACTAGGTTCGACTGTGACCCCAGGAAGCTCACTGGGGTGGGTCGCGCTGGGCTCAGTGTGGTCAACGTCCCATTCTGCCCAGTCCTCGGAATACTGTGAGGCAACAGGAACCATCTCATGTACCTGGCGGGTTAAGAGAGAACGATAGGGTCAGATATTTAAAATTTTTAAAAATTACCCCATGAAAGTAACTTCTATGAATTGTCAACTTTGATTAGCTTTAAATAACTTAAATGATAAGATAAAAGGATAAGATAAATTAAATACACTACTACACAGAAAAAAAATTGAGGAATCAAAAATTTAAGAATAATTTTTCATCTTTCTTATTTTCTTTGTAAATGTAAAAAAAAAATATCTGTTGTGAGGTATGCCTAACGCAGAATGACTGTAGTGAGCTGACTACCAGCTACTTAGACCACCAGTCACTTAAGCTGCCAAATATTCAATAGCTAGGGTTTTGTACATAACAGAATTGCAAATACATGCATTATCACTGACAAGTAGTAGATATTAAGATAATGAATGAAAAATATAAGTTTGTATACTTTCTTGTACAGTTAATTATATTATCATATGCTTTTAAAATTTTGCAGACAAAATTTTGCCTTTGTATGCAAAATTATACTTTTTTTACTGTTCATTCTTATTTTTTTCACTTTTTTACTACATACTTTTTCAGTCCCATGAAAAAAAAAATCTAGCTCTGAGATCTTCAGGGGATAATAATAGTGTTCTTTACAAGTCACTCCTTCTAAAATGAATAATAAATTTTAAAATCTGAAAATATATATATAGTTCTGCGATCTTCACTTTCCCTAAAATAAAAAATAGTAAATAGAAAAAAAATTGTCTGACAGTCCCCTAAAGTGGAAGAAAGGCGATGAAGTGGAAGAAAGAGCAACACAAAACAGATATAATTTCTTGCACTACAAAGAGTATTGTCATCAATAGTATGTACATTCTATCTTTGGCTTTACCAATTCAGTGTTACCTGATTGGGGAAAAAGAGAAAATAAAATAAAACAATACACCTGTAATTTCCTCTTATAATTTGCCTCACCATTTCACCAGTGACAAACACACACACAAAACTCACACAGTACTTGAAAATCAGTGGAGATCTTGAAAGACTTAACGCTGTGTAGATGAATCGCCTGAGACCCTTAGGGCCGTATATATCGACACGAGGCACTTCCTTCTCCAGCTGTTCCTCGGTCAGGCCAAACTGGGATGAAATGGTGCAGAGGAGACCAGGGAGACCAAACATGTGATCTCCGTGAAGGTGAGTGATGAAGATCTTGTTAATCTTCTGTCTCGAAACGGCAACTTTCTGGGCCTGAATCTGGGTGCCCTCGCCACTGTCGAAGAGCCAAATGGAGCCATCTGAGGGAAGGAGGGATGTCACCTTTTCAAGCACTAAAGATGAGGGAGGTAAGAAACAAGAGGAAAAGGAATGTCTGAGGATGAAGTGGAAGGAAATGATGATGAGGAGGAGGAGGAGGAAAAAGAGAAGTGAATAAAGTCCTTCAATATTTACATTTTAGTTTCTCTACATATCATGTAATAAACTGACAATCTAGAGTTCATTCTTCCATTTCCAGATGCTTTGAAATATGTCATTTTGGTTAATAACAAACATTCATTTTCTTATAACCATATGCAATCTATGCACATAAAGACTTGTGGGAATAATAAAAGTCTGTTTCATTCTAAATTTTCCTCTCAAGTGGCTTACCATCCTGCTGTAGAGCTAAAGATGACACACCACGCTTGGTTGTTGGGTAGCTTGAGCCGGTTCCTAGAAAGTGGAGTTTCATGGTCGATCTGTTTGAGGCAAAATATCTTATTTGATATATACATATATACATATATATTTCCTTTTTGAGTGTTTGTGTATTATCATATCAGAAGTTATGTAAGGATACCTTAAAATCTATGAAAAAAACAACAAAAAAGCAAGAATTTTACAGTAGCAGTACAAACACACACACATGGAATTAGATGCATGTAGCAAACCCTATATATAATCTAAAAAAAAACATACCAGTTCATATTATCAAACTATCTTATGAGAAGAAAAAAATAACATCAGAAATTCAGAAAGCTGTGTATATTTTTCTTGTATATATGAACACACTTATAAAGCAAGAGATTTTTGAAAATAGATATATTCTGGTATTACAAATAAAAAATGGTTAATGGTTAATGGTTAAAAGCAAGATAAATGTGCTAGACATCTAAGGTCATGTAGCACTATAGTTAATGTTAGTGAAGGGTGGTTGAGTTAGTGATTAGTTGTCTAAGCTGGGCAAAGGAATTAGTGAGTGAAAGGGTTAAGGTCGGGTGTTATATTAGATAAAGGGTATGCATAAGAAAGGTTTCTTGAAGGCATACAATAGATGGGTTATAAGAGGAAAGGATATGATGGTCAGGTCTGTGGGAGCGGAAACCGCGAATATTCCAATGAAGGATAGTTATACTTTCGTTGATTTAGTGATATAGATTGTAGTACGTGTTGGAGAATTTGAAGGGAAAGTAGCTAGAGGGTGGGATAAGGAGTGAGAGGTTTGAGATGGGAGAGGTGTGGGAGTTGGTGTTCTATCAGGAGGGGTATTAGGAGATGGAGGGTCTGAGGAAGGGGATACTTGTGACATAAGGGATTCACGTGTGTATCCAGGAGGGAGTGGAAGGGATAGAGGGTATGGTGGGAGAGTTAATGTGGGCAGGGTTGGGGTCAGGGGGAATGGGCTGTGTTGGGAGGGGGTAGGAGGGTAGGGTGTAGGGGGGATATCGTTAGGAGGAGGATGGATATCAGCAATTACTTGGAGTGTGGAAGGAGCAGGAGTTGTAGGTTGAGTGTCGGTTTTCATTAAGTAATCTTGAATATTTTCAATAGTTTCTTCTGTGGAGTTGGTTGGGGAGTTTTGGGGGATAAAGGATTTCTTGTGAGGGGGGGAAGAGAGGACTGGTGTCTCAAGAGTACGGGCAAAGGATGGTGGGGGTGATTGTGTGGTAGGGGAAGAGGGGGTGGAACGTTTGTTCTGTCTGTTACGGGGAGTGCGAGGAGGGAGAGGGGAAGGTGTTGGGGTTGTAGTGGTGATTGGAGTATCTGTAGTAGAGATTGGAGTTTCTGGATTTAGGATGGCAAAAGAGTTTGACTGGGGAAGGTAGGTGGGGTTAGTGGGGGGGTTAGATGTAGGAGGGGTGGGTTTAGGAGAAGTGTTAGGATGAGCAGTATTACTGGAGTAAGGAGTAAGAGAGAATCCACGTCGACGTGCTTCCTGTCTGGCTTCACGCAGTGTGAGTCCGAGTTTGAATCTGAGAGTTGCTACCTCAGATTCAAATTTGTAGGTGGGACAGCCCCTATAAAATACATTATGGGGGCCGCCACAGTTGGCACATGTGCATGATTGTGCAGAGCAGTTAGATCGGGTATGGCCAGGTTGGGCACATAATGGGCATCTGGCTGTGGAACGGCAGTGTTTGGCTGGGTGTCCTAGACGCCAACAATTTTGGCACTGACGTGGAGGAGGTTGGTATGGACGAACAGGGAGGGATTCTCCTCCTATGTAGACGTTAAAGGGAAGGTCATGTCTACGGAAGGTAATTTTGGCTATGTTAGTGGGTTTCTTTCGATGACCTCTGGGGGGGATGGAATAGCATTGTACTGATGTTGCATCGTAGTCTGTGAGACAGGCAAGTAGATCTTCTCCACAATCTGACCATTCTTTGTCATAGATTGGGCAATTTGTTGGTGAGATTGAGACTGTTCCGGTGCAAGTATTGAGGGTTGGATGGGGTTCTGCTAGGATGGGGTTACCATATAGGTCAGTTAGTTTTGTTAGTGCTATGGCTTGATTTTCGGATGTTACTGTTACAAGACGGGAGCGGTCGGGTCGGCTACGGAAAGAGACTTTACCTACTTGTTTTTGGAGGCATTGTTGGAAGAGAAGGGTGTTGTTAGAGTAGGGAGCTGTGGGAGGGATCACGAAAAATCGGTCCCATTTGGCTGCACTGAAGAGAGTATTCAAGATTGTTTTAGAGATAGGGGTGGTAGAAGGGCGAGGGCGTGACGAAGATGGAGTAGTGTTGATGGAGGTAGTGTTATGGAGAGGTGGGCTATAAGGCTGTAAGGTATTAATAAGGGAGGATGGGGTGGTTGATGTTGGAGGTTGTGGGGGTAGAGGTGTTGAAGTTGGGCATGCTGGGAGAGTGGAAATGTCCCTTGAGGGTTGATTGTTGGCTACTGTACTAGTAGGCATTGGTGAAGGGGTAGTTATTGTAGTGTTTGGAGCCGTGGTCAAAGGAGAGCCTGGGGTCGGGGAATCGGGTGGGTTTACTTCGTTGGGGCTATTTAATAAAGGGGCAAGCCTTATTGCCCCTAACAGTGGGGATATATTTTCATTACTGGCCATGGGAAGCCTGGATTATGTTGGGGATAAAAGCAGTCCACCCCTCAGGGTCCCCTTGAGGGGTAAGGGCTAGATAACTAAATCAGGGGAATACCGTGCCCATGGCTCCCTCAGGCCGTTCAGGACTGGCACAAAGTCAGCCTTTCATCCTTTCAGCACGGCTCTCACACCTTAGGAGGTGGATAGCAGAAGGGTTTGGTGAAGGGACAGAAACAAAAGTGGGAAGGGAAAAAAAGACCATGCATAATTAGTTGAGTCGAGGGCTGAGTCCCAAGGTTGGGGAGTTCCCCATCATTGGGTCCCAGTCTCCGCCTCCTAAGCCCCCCACGACAACAACGGGCAAGGGATTGGGGGGGGTACAAATAAAAAAAACACATGTATTTATTCCAGCAATCATGAAAATAATGCTAACCAGTATATGACAATTATTTGCCATGTAGGTTTACAAACTTGGTTATTGTTACTATAAGCAATGCACAAAGACAGGTACAAATGGACACTGACATAGTATGGGGCATAATAAAGTCATAAACAATATAGGTACAGCTGCAATGGACTCCTATTTACCTCAAAAGGACAAAAAATATCACCACAACATCCTCACACAGCCAGAGTTCTTAATGTTGCATTTTTAGTAAACTATCCCGAAGTGCTAATAGAAGGGGGTTACTGGGGGTATTTTGCCCCTGTCTAGGGAATAAATATTACATAGAAAAGGTCAGGTTTGGATTTTTGGGTTGGCATGATACACTGGTTTTGGACTTCGTCTCTGTAGGGTGTATCATTCTGGGTAACAAATACCACATGTTTATTCTAGACAGAAAATACGTGGTGAAGATTAGTTTCCCTTTGCTTAAGTGTGAATTTTAGTTCCATTACCTTAGTTTTCTTATTTGTCCCTTCCTACTCTGGACAAAAGCACGGCATCTATAAATCATCAACCCTGTCTTATATAGAAGTAAAATGGTGCTTAGCTTATAGTTACCCAAAATACCCTCAGAAGTCGTAGTAAAATGTAAAATTATTGCGTCACCCACAGCGGTCGTCTCCGTTTGTAAACAAATACACGTTGCTAGGAATCAGCTGGTTCGGTTGCCAAATAGTCATATATGCGGTAATTATGGAAGGATTGGAGGCTTGAGAATGGGTTCACCTCTTAATTATGATGACGACCTTAAGCAGAATAATCTATTAGTCCTCTGTAGTTCTTGATTGTATTACGACTCTTATTTCTATCATTGTCATTAGTGTTCTTGCTATTATCGTTCTTCTTGTTATTGTCATTGTTACTGTTATCATTCACATCGTCATCGCCATCGTGGTTAATACCGTTACTTTTCTCATCATCCGATTTATTTTATTTATTTATTTATTTGTTTGTTTGTTAATTCATTTATTGAAAAAAAATTCTGTCGCGTCAACAGGCGAGGCTTGGGGACAGAGGTAAAGAAAGATTTTTTGCCGATATTTGTGGATTTTCAGAATGGTCAGAACAGACAAATGTGCCAGACATAAAAGGTTACACAGCATTATTGTAAAGTACTGTGACGGAAAGGATAAATACGAGTTAATGATTTGAATAAGTGGACAGAAGGAGATGGCGAAGAGAAGGAAAAGGGAAGATGGAGAAGAGAAGACCTGCAAAGTTAGTTGAGACAAGGGCTGAGGACCAAAGCAGGGTCCCCTACATTGGGCCCTAGTCTCTGCCTCCTTAGCACCCCCCCCCCCCAGGCAACAAGAAGCAAGAGTGATCGTCATCATCATCATGTCATTACTATCATATCATATATATATCATCATATCATCGGTTATCATATCATATATATCATCATATCATCGGTTATCATATCATATATATCATCATCATATCATCGGTTATCATATATATATATCATCATCATATCATCGGGGAGTAAACTAGAAGTTCGCAGCCAAAGGAAAAAAAAAAAAAAAAAAAAAAAAAAACATTAAATGTAGACAGGCACCAATATGTGTACGCTGTCAGAAAGTTGTTTAATAATGATAACTTTACGCCAAAGGTCATATACCGTTGAAAACCTCGCTTCTCGTCCGATCAGCGAAGTTAAGCGACGTCGGGTCTGGCTAGTTCTTGGATGGGTAACCGCTTAGGAACTCCAGATGTAGTTGGCAGTTTGTGTTATAATCATTACTTTATCAGTTTTCCTTGGGCGATTTTTTTCATTACATTGCACACGGCAGTGTAGGGTTACACAAATAAAAAGGTGATATAAAAACCTTTATTTTTGTGGTTTGTATCAATAGCATTTTTATAATCATCATAGTTGATCTAGTTGATTTTCAGTGTCTCTGTGAAACTAAATATTAGCGATATTGATATTATTAATTGAAAATTTTCTACCGTGTCAGCATCTAAGGTCATATTGCATTATGATAAAGTATTGTGGCAAGAAGGGTAAAAAGGAGTTAACGATTAGGATAAGTGGTCAAAAGAAGGGGGTGAAGAAGAGAAGGAAAAGGAAGGGAGGGGAAGAAAAGACCATGCAAAGTTGAGGCGAGGGCTGAGGACCAAGGTAGGCGAGATCAGTAAGTTATAATAGTAATAATGAATGTCTATGAAAGACATATCCACTTTAATATTTAAATTATTTATTGAAAACAATCTTCAACGTCAACATCTAAGGTCATTAGTGGCGTATTCAAAATATAGCGATGCTTGAGGCTTGCGGACGAAGCCCCCGGGAAAGGAATTGTTATATGACATCAAAGGTCATATGGCATTATGACAAAGTAGAGTAGCGAAAAGGGTTAGGAATAAGTTCATGATTAGGGTAAAGTTAAAGATTGCACAGTACTAGAGGGTAGTATGGTAGTGAAAAGGGTAGAGAGGGGAAGCTGATGGGGTAAAGTATAAGGTAAAGGTTATTAGAAGGGGGAAGAAGTTAAGGGAGCAGGGAGCATTATGAGAAAGAATTGTGACGAAAAGGAAGAACATGAGTTTAACGATTAGGATACGGGGACAGAACAAGGGCACGGGAAAAGGAAAAGGAAAGGAGGAGAAGGAAATACTCTTTCTGCAAAATTAGTTGAGGCGAGAGCTGAGGACCAAAGCAGGATCCCCGTCCCCCCCCCCCCCAAAAAAAAAAAAAAAAAAAAGCAACGAGCAAGGAATTAGGAGGGATTCATTTAGTAATCATAAAACATTCATATAGTAATCTTAATACACTCATTGCGGTGTATTTCTGTAACCAACGTATTGTTATTACTTAAATCGGTTATTTGATTTGAGACTTTGCTTCAACAATCGTAACTGATCGATTTATTTAATGCAAAATTTCTACATCAACACCTAAGTTCAGTAACGGCGTATTCAAAGTACAGCATTATGATCTATTGTATTGAATAAAAAATCTGCCGCATTAACATCTAAGGTCATTACCGACGTATACAAAACATAGCGACAGGTGAGTAAAGCCCGCTGGTAAGATTTTTTTTTTTTTTTTTTTTTGGGGGGGGGGAGGTCAGTAAGGCGATGTTTGTGGATTTCCAGAATGACCAATGGTCAAAACAGCGTAAATGCGCCAGACATCAAAGGCACATAGAATTATGGTAATTATGGTATTATGGCGAAAAGGGTAAATACGAATTAACGATTTGGATAAGTGGACAGAACGGGATGAAGAAAATAAAAATAAAGACGAAAGTGGGAGAAGAAAAGACCCTGCAAATGGCTGAGGTCCATTGCAAGAGTAATCTCTGCATTGGACCTCAGTCTCCGCCTTCTAGCCCCCCCCCCCCACCCCTACAGCAACAACGAGCAAGGGGTTAGGGGCATAAATTACTGAGATGTTGAAAATAAAACTCACTTATCCAACAATGTTTATTTCAAATTATAAGAAAAAAATGTAGCTGTAGGAAAAGAACGAACGAAAAGATATTGAAAACAAAATTTTTCGTCCAATCAGCGAAGTTGAGGGAGAGGAAATATTAAAATGCGGAGTAGAAACGAAAATCAATTAAAAAGCTTTATTCCTTTCTTTCTTATAATAACAGCTGAAAATCCAACACAAAGCAGATCATGGCACATCAAAATAATCCATGAATTACTTTGCAGCGAAGTTTTACCAGTTTAACAGTAAAAGAAAATGTCAAGTTAACCTGAATCAGTCAAATATAAATGTCACTATTTTCATGGTTTATAGAAAGAAAAATCGCATCTAAAATTAATATTTATATTAAAAAAAAAAGAAAAATCCAAGCTCGACTACCATTATATTTAACCTTATAATGCTGAACGCGGAGACGAAAACTCAAATAAAAGTAGTATATAAAACATTAAATTAAAAATACTTCTTCAGGGGCGAAGAAAATTAATTTACAGAATGAAAAGCTCTGAACAGGATCACGAGAACCAACAATTATTCCTGTTCTGAATAATTTTCTCCTTCATTCCACTGGAAGTTCATACCTACATACACGAAAGAAAATAAGTATTATATATTTTTTCATAGCCAACCAAGATATATAACAAGTAAAAGCCGTACAAACAACACGTCCACGAGCACAGGGCAACCAACCCATAAATGTTCATAATTCATCAGTTACTTCTTTTAGTAGGCTATAGTAAAAAAAAAGGTTCTCACTTTTGGCAAATGTGTAAAAAATAGGCATTTTCCAAGACCCCTGTTTTGTGAAGAATCCACAGTATATTTGTTAAATGTATCTTTGATATCTGAAAATGTTAAAAAGATAGTGGACGTAAATAAACCGGGAATCTACATAAACACGTTATTAATAGTTAAATAAAAAAATGTGCTAGCTATCAGAGGTCATATAACACTTATGGTAAAGTATTGTTGCGAAAAAGGTAAAACTGAGTGAATGATTAGAATAAAATGTGTTAAATGTCAAAGGTTATGGAGTGCTATAGGATAGTTTGGTACAGAAAAGGGCCGAGTGCAATTTAGGAATAGGTAGAGAGAGAAGGGCCTTGTTGGGGTGCTTCCTGTCTAGCCTCACGTAGAGCGAGGCCTAGTTTGAATGCGCGAACTCCTATAAAATACATTATGGACGCCACTAAAA